GCAGTTAGCATAATGTTTTCAAAGGTTCATCCATATCATAGCTTGTGGATTTTTTTCCACCAATAATACTCCATTGTATGAATACACATTATTTTACTTATCCAGCATCAGGTGATGGATATTTTGAGTTGTTCCCCTTTTCTGGCTATTATGAATAGAGTTGCTATTAACATTTATATACCAGCTTTCTTTTCTATTAGGTATATATCTAGAAGTGGAATTGTTGGGTCATGTGGCAAGACTGTATTTAACATTTTGAGAAACTGCCAAACTGTTTTACAAAATGCGTCATTTAAATTCTGATCATCAGTGTATGTTGGTTTCTAACTCTTCATATTCCCTAACACTTGTTATTATCTGTCTAAAAGATTATAGTTATCTGAGTATGAAATGATTGTTCATTGTGATTTTGATTTGCATTTTTTGATGACTAATGATGTTAAGTAACTTTTCCTGTATTTATTGGCCTTTTGTATATCGTCTTTGAAGAAATATCTGTTCAGATCCTTAATTCATTTTTAATTGGGTTGTCTTTACATTATTGATTTTGAATCATTCTTTATAGATTCTAGATGCAACTCCCTCCCTTACAGATATCATTTGCAAAAATTTTCTCCCATTCTGTGGTGTGCTGAAAAAATCTTTAATGATACTTTGCTGAGTTTGAATTCCTCTAAAATTACTTTTTCCTAAATGTATTGCACAAGTATACATAGTAATATATATTGTATGTGTCTATATATGTATATTCTCATGCATGTTCTGTGAAAGAGATTAAGTATAAAATAAGTGAAATAAGTATGAGAAATATCCCAAAATGAATGTACCCCTTTGATTTACATTTTATGTGAGTATATTAAAGGTTCTGAGAAGGCCACTGGTAACCTGCTTTACTGTATATAACCCACTAAGGACTAAGGTTATGTTGACTCAGTTATCAAGGAAATTACTGTATTTTAGAATACAGTTTTAAAAATCCGATATAATCCAAATTATAAAAGTTAAATTAAAATAGCTATTTCTTTGGTCACAAATTCTATTTTTCTGTATGCAGCAATAGTACCACCTTCTGGAAATCTAGGGATAGTACTGTTATATTTTTCAGGATTTACAAACAGCCTTAGGGTTGTTATAGCATTATTTGACAAAGAACGAAGATTGTATTTTTTATCAAATCAAGACAATGTAAAACAAGTAAAAAATCTTGTTCTTATGTTATCACTGATATATAGTTCCTAGGGACAAATAGGAACCAAATAATTATTAACAAATATATTTTATTTTTTCTATTAAAAGTATTTCAGAAATAGAATTATGGTACTGATTTTGATAAATGCATTAAATGAGAAAAATTGTCTTCCCTATCACTTTTGAAAGCAGTAAAATGGTAGAAAATCAATGACCGTCAATGTACAATAATGTAAAATGATGTTACTATTCATGGTAAACACATTAAAAATTCCTTTGCCAAATGTCTATTTTAACTGAAATTTCTACTTTTTTGGTGAAAACCCAGTCTTACAGCCCTCTGAATTTTTTTACCATCTCTATCTACTGATAGGTTTTTATATGCCATTTTAGGAAAATAGGGCTTTTACATTGTTTTTCTTGTAAGACTGAAAATAAAAACTCATTCTTGTAAAGATATTGTCCTGTGCATCAGAAGTTACTTATTGAACAAGCTCCTAATTTTGAGAACCTTTTTGTACCAGTCTCTTTTTTGAAAATGAATGTACTCAAGCCTGTAAAGAACCCTCTGGTGTAGATATTCTTACCTTCATTTTACAAATAGGGAAACTCATGCACCCAAAATATAAGAAACTAGCCCCTAAGATTACATATCAATAAAGTTAAGATTTGAAACAGACCAATCTGGTTTCAGTTCATGTATTTAACAACTTAGCTAAGGACAAAAGATCACCTAGAAAGGGCTGAAAGAATAAAATAGTCAACCTGGTATTATATGTCTTTAACAAATAAAATGTTCTTCTAATTCCCCATTAAAATACATGACTTTCAACAAAAACTTGAACACTGCCTTTTGGAATGTCTAACATATATGTACGGGTAGCTCATACATTTGGCAAAAGTAGTAGTGAGAATAATAACACCTATGCAGGCACAATATTTTTTATATTACATAAATTATTAAAATATTAACTATAAAGTGTATGTTGTAATCAGGAGAGCAACCTCTAAAAATTGCAGATATATTAAAAAGCTAATAGAAAATTTTATTTATTTATTTATTTATTTTTTAAATAAAGATTTATTTATTTATTTATACAAACACTGGGTACAGTCAGAGGCGCGGGAGGGTGAGAGAATTCACCAGAGCCAGAGCAGGTAGCAGAGCAGGCAGAAGGACCGAAGTACACTGCTGAGGGGAGCAGCGGGCGGCAGGAGAGGTCTGCGCGCCATGTGGGACCCTCCTCCGGTGGCCGGGGAGCAGCCCGGGAATTGAACCAGCGCTGCAGAGGCTGCGGGCAGCTTCGCAACCCAGCGCTCAACCGCTGCGCCACCGAGGAGGCCTTAATAGAAAATTTTAAATCAACTAAAATGTTAAGATAATCCAAAGAACAGAATGCTGGAAATGGGATAATAAAAAATAAACAAGTAAAATGGTAGATCTGAACCAATTATATCAATAATCACATCAAATGTAAATGATCTAAACATTCTAATCAAAAAGTAAGTATTTATAGAATAGAAAAAGAAAAGGAAATACCTATAATATTCTATCTACAAGTGACTCACTTAAAATATAAAGATAGATTTGGGTTGAATGTAAATTGATGAAAAGACATATACCAGGAAAACAGTATGTTTTAAAAAGCTAAAATGGTTATATTAATAGCAGAATCAATTTCAAGACAGGAAGTGTTCCCAGCAAAAAGGGATATTTCACAATGGTAAGCCCATTCATCGGGAAAATAAAAGCGTGTATCTAAAGTCATTATTAAAATACATGAAGCAGGGGCCTCCCCGGTGGTGCAGCGGTTGAGTGCTGGGCTGTGAAGCTGCCCGCAGCCTCTGCAGCGCCGGTTCGATCCCCAGCCGTCGGGTGAGGGTCCCACATGGCCGCAGACCTCTCCTACCGCCCGCGGCTCCCCTCAGCAGTGTACTTCGGTCCTTCTGCCTGCTCTGCTCTCCGCTCTGGCTCTGGTGGATTCTCTCACCCTCCCGCGCTTCTGACTGTACCCAGTGCTTGTATAAATAAACAAACAAATAAATAAATAAATAAATCTAAAAATAAAATAAAATACACGAAGCAAAAACTGACAAAATTAAGAAGGAAAACGAGGCAACTTTATAATCATAATTCAAGATGTTTATTAGAAACTGAAAAAAACAGCTATACAAAAATCAACATATTCATATACAATATCCAAACATTATCAAATACCTTCATCTAATAGCTAGTTATAAAATAGTCCACCTAACAACAAAATATAGAAACTTTTCAAATGCATGTGGTATATTCACCAGAATAGACCATAAGTTGACCATTAAGGCAAGTCTTAATAAATTAAAAAAAATGAAATTTTATAAAGTATGCTGACAGAGAACTGAATTCAATTTCAATAACAAAGTATCTCAGAAATAGAGGTTAAACAATACTAAAACCATAATACTAAATTATTGGGTTGAAATATAATCATAAGTTTTCATAAAATATTTATATTAATATAAAATATATAAATAATATCAACATATATAAAAATGTGTGAGTGTAGGTGCAACTTAGGGGAAAATATAGAGCTTTAAATGTTCATTTAAAAAAATAGAACTAGAATCAGTGACTTAAATTCATTAGAAAGAAAATTAAAGTTGAAAAAGGCAGAAAAACAAAGATTAGCACATAAATCAACAAAGTAGAAAATTGAAAAGCAATATAATAAATCAATGAAACAAAAAGCTAGTTCTCTTAGAATTAATAAAAATCTAGTCAGACTGATCAAGAAAAATATGAATTACGAAGAATGAATGAGGTGACAAAACTATACATATTGAAAGGAAAAGAGGGGTTCACTCAGGTTTAACAGCATCAAGAATTCTATGGAATGATTCCTGGGGAACTAAAGAAAATGATTTTGAAAATAATTTAGTGCCTGTAAGTGGCATTATAGCAAATGAATAAATACTTAGAAATAATCTACTAAAACTCAGTAAGAACAGCAAGAGTCAGTGAGATTTGAACCAAGACCCACTCCCTCCTTCCTTCCTCCAGCTCAGCAAGAAGGAAACTCCAAAGAAATTGAACTTCCTCTTTAAGTCAGAGGAACTTCCTCTATGGAGCAAGATGTTAGCATTGTTTATCCTGTCCCCAACTACATGTCGCTGAAGTTAAATTCTGGATGAGTCTTCCTGAGATGTGGGGGACTCCCTTCTTTGGAACAGCAACACTTCATGGGAGGAGGCTTTACCTTGAGAACCAACAACCCTGAGAGTGCTATGCTCTTGTTATAATTATCTGAAATTTCCTTCATTCCAATGAGATCGGAGGGCGGTAACGTGTCCTCTATAACATAAGCAATTTGTGAGGAGGAGGTCGTCATATGATCCTGTGAGTCTCTGCAATGTCTTCTCATGAGATGGAATAGAATTTGACTTCAGCACCTTATGAGGTTTCAAACTTATTTGAAAATAACAAGAACTTCCAAGAAAAGCTATTCTCATTGAAAAAGTATTAAATGTTATTAATTTTTACTGTTTCAGAAAACAGAAATTGCATGGCTACAATATCAAATGCAATTCCTGCTTAAATGCAATACACTTTGAGCAGGATAATTATTAAATAAAAAGTTCTGATAACTAATTAAGGCCTCTTGAAAAGACCCTGTAGAAAGCTTAACAAATGTGCTATTCCCCATTAAGCCAATCTTTGAGCTGAAAAAAAAAAAAAACCAAAATAACCCAAACATATATATATATATATATATATATAGAGAGAGAGAGAGAGAGAGAGAGAGGAATAAAAGAGGCACAAACTTGTTTTATCCAGAATTTAATATTTTTGAAAAGACAGAAAATATAAAAGTTATCAAAAAATCTTAAGAGATTCATTTTAGGGATAAATGCTGGCTAGCATTTAGCTTTTTTCTTGTAACTGATTTAAGGTAAAAAGTAAGAATTGTATTTCAAAAAGCACTGTAGCTACAGCTGTCCAGTATAAAACCTACCTGCCAAAGGCAGGACAAAATGAGCTAGTAATGCAAATGCCCACATCAACACCTTAGTGACAAGTTCAGATGGTTTTAGTTCCCAGGGTCTGGGAGGATGATCATTTTGCATGCTTAGAGTCTACTTCTTCAAGAATCCACTGAATGCCATTCAAAAAGCCAGTTAGACTTTCAGCCTCGGTATCCTGGACCTATGAGCAGATAAAGAGAGACAATTGCCAGTAAAAACTGAGCCCAAAATTTTGTGATTACAAGGGACATTTTTCTAGATGCTACAAAAAAAGAACTTGAAAACTTGAAATAAGTCATTCAAATTTTGTCTTCAGAGAGCTGAGATAAAGTATGGTCTTCTCTGATCCCTCATAATTATTACAAATAATAGGATTATTATTTATTTTGTAACTCAGCTTTGGGAATGGAAAGAATGACCAGTTCCATGATTTGTTTGTATGTATTAGGGAAAAAAAAAAAAATTCTCCAAATCCACTTTGAAAACTAAAACATTTTGAATGAACCCAGACAGCCAGCTAGTGTGACATCTTGTTGCCAAATGGGTCCTTAGGACCCACTGCCACTTCTCAATCTCACCTCTATAAGTAGCTTGCAAAATGTGTTCCAAAGAATCTCCAGGGCTTCATGGAAGGGATAGGGGTTTAGGAAGAAAGAAAATCTAATTTTTCAGCAAAAGCATTTTCAATTTTAATGTTTCTTTACCTATTTTCTCATAGCATTTCACTGAAGAAAGGATTCCATGAATAAAATGAAATTTGAAAAGCAATAAACTGTAGTAAGATGAAATCTATATTTTTATGGCATTTAAAGCATAATGTATTAATGATTTAAAAACCATGATATGGGCCTCCCCTAGTGGTGCAGCGGTTGAGCACTAGGCTGCGAAGCTGCCTGCAGCCTCTGCAGCGCCAGTTGGATCCCCGGCCACCGGCGAGGGTCCCACATGGCGCGGCAAACCTCTCCTGCCACCCGCTGCTCCCCCAGCAGTGTGTTTGGTCAGTCTGCCTGTTCTGTTTCCCGCTCTGACTCTGGTGAATTCTCTCACCCTCCTGTGCTTCTGACTGTACCCAGTGCTTGTATAAATAAATAAATAAATAAATAAATAAATAAATAAATAAATCTTTTTTTAAAAAAAAGAAAGAAATAATCTTTTCTTTAAAAAAATAAAATAGGGCCTCCCCGGTGGCGCAGCGGTTGAGCGCTGGGTTGCGAAGCTGCCGCAGCCTCTGCAGCGCCGGTTCGATCCCCGGCTGCTCCCCGGCCACTGGAGGAGGGTCCCACATGGCGCGCGGACCTCTCCTGCTGCCCGCTGCTCCCCTCAGCAGTGTACTTCGGTCCTTCTGCCTGCTCTGCTCCCCGCTCTGGCTCTGGTGAATTCTCTCACCCTCCCGTGCTTCTGACTGTACCCAGTGCTTGTATAAATAAATAAATAAATCTTTAAAAAAAAAAAAAATAAAATAAAATAAAATAAAATAAAATAAAATAAAATAAAAACCATGAGAGCATTTATAAAAACAAAAAAATAATTCTCAATTTCTATTCTCTCACTGTATGCATGACAGGAGAGGCAAGGGAGCAACTGATAGGCTAAGACTTATTAACACCAAATATCTCCCACGAACTGAGCTATTAAAACTAACTTTAGAATATTAGTTCATTAAAGAGAATGAGTAGGAAAGAATGAAATCAAATAGAAAATAGAGTGAAAAACAAGATTTATCTCATAGAGAAGACAGAACCTTACCATCCATGGGTGGCTTAGATGATTCAGATGCAGCTCATGGGCCAAATAAAAACAGGGCATTCTTTTTACATTTGCTTGAGAAATACAAGATAAAACAAGCATTGGTCTTCCTGAAGATCCAAAAGCTGGATCTGTCATGGCCATAATACGAGAAAGTTCATCTTGCCATTCATGACCTAAGGAATATATTCAAATCCTTAATTTGCATTATTAGTAATGACTTTTCAAATAATAAAATTAAAATTTTAAATATTAAAACAAGAAAACTAAAAAATTACCAGGATCCAAACATAAACTGCCTGTACTGCTGTGTTCATTTACTGACTTATTATAAAATTAAATTAAGTAGTCTTATAAGGATAGGGATTTAGATGAAATTGGGGGGTGGGGAGGATGTAGTACCATTCAGATTTTGCTATAATTTTAAAGCAAAAATGCTTTGATATACCACATTTTTTGCTCAAAAATTCTATAGCTATCACCACCCTTAATTTCAGAGACTTAAAAATATAATTGGGACTAACTTTTTTTTATAAAAACTGACAATCTCTGCTTTTCACTGGTGTGTGTAAATCACTGACATTTGGTGGTGGACAAGAATTCTGAAATGACACCCTGATGACTCATAGTCTTGTATAATCCCTTTTGAGTGCGGGGACAGAAAGACTAGCTTCCGTCTCCAGCAGTGGTTGGCCTCTGCCTGGACCAAGGAGGAAGAGCAATTTCCTACACCACCTCAAGTGGCAGACAATTTCAGTTTCATATGCAAAAAGGCGATCAAAGGCAGGCAGATCATCACAAGCGTGCCTATGCCACCAAGGAAGGCACACAAGAATCTTTCATATGATCACCTAAGAAGAGGCTAGTGGGAAAGAGCTACTTGAATAAGTGCAGACTGCCTTTCTTCCTTAAAACAATTTTTTTAAAGATTTATTTATATGCATACAAGAACTGGGGTATAGGCCAGAGATGCAGGGGGTGAGAGGACTCACCAGAGACAGAGTGGGGAAAAGAACATGCAGACTAAGTGAAATACCCTGCTGAGGGGAGCAGCAGGTGAGACAGGAGAGGTCTGCCCCGCCATGTGGTTTGCTCCCTGGCCAGCTGGGGAGGCTGCGGATTGCTTCGTAGTGCGGTGCTTAACCCCTTGTGCCACCATGCCTTAAAATTTTTTGTTTACTTGTTTTATAAGGGGCTACAGGGTAGAACGTGGACTGGAAACTAGATAAAAGAAGGCACTATGTCTTAGTTCCCATTTGTATTCCCAGGACCTACACAGTGCCTAACCTTAGTAAGAACTATTTGTAGAATAAATAAGCTGATCTTTTAACTTTGCTTTTAAGTTAAAAGTTAAGTTTTGTAGGGGTCCCATAATAACAGAGAGTAATTTACATTTCCTATGAATAATTTCCTCATATCTTTAAAGTATAATTGCTTCCATGCCTAACAGTTCATAGGGGAAATAAATTCAATGGAAATTCAAAACAGTGTATTAGACATACTAAGAACACATATGCATGTATACACATATAATATAAAAACAATATATATAGGGCCTCCCTGGTGGCGCAGGGGTTAAGACACAACCTAGGAAGCTGTCCACAGGCACTGCAGCATGAGTTCCATCCCAGGTCAGGGAGCTGCCCAGATGGCCCAGGAGACCTCTCCTGCCTCACCCGCTGCTCCCCTAGGCAGTGTATTTCAGTCGGTCTGCCTGTTCTGTTCCCCACTCTGTCTCTGGTGAATCCTCTCACCCTTCCATACCTCTGGCCTGTACCCCAGTTCTTGTATGCATAAATAAATAAATCTTTAAAAAAAACCAATACATACATATATAATAAATGTGTTATATATTTATGCCCAACTGTGTTCACAAAGGACTCAAGGAATCAATTACAATACTGGATTGTGGTCCAATAGTACTCTGATTTCATGCCTAGATAGCATCATGACCTATTGGGAACTATGGGAACTATTCAAGAATATATGAAGTGTTCTTAACTAATGAACTTCAAGTAAATACCCCACCCCCCACACAAAAATTTTCAGTTATCTATATAAATTATTTGAATAGGACAAGAAGCAGACAAAACATCAATAACAAAAACTGCAGGCGTATATAACAAAAAAAGTAGTATGTAGTTATGTACAAACTAGTATGCATCAGATTTCCATTGGTGTTTATTGTCCAAGTAACCCAAATCTACCAGTCATAATCCACCAGGGTAGAAGCAGCACCTGTTTTTTTAAACAAGTTCCCCAGGCAATCCTAATACACATCAAGGTCTGAGGACCCACTATCACCTGCAGTGGTCATACTTCATGTTAATAAAATGAAAAAACATATTGTTAAAAATCAGTAAAAAATTTTAAAATGTGTTATTTGATCTGCACTATTTAAAATGCTTTTTAAAAAGAAAATGATGCTTACTTTTCTCAGCTTCAGCATTTGCAACATAGATGAACCCATCAACAACTTCACACACCTTCTGAATTTGTGGAATTACACTGTACCGGCTTCCTTGTTGACCATTCCCTTCATTCTGTAGACTAAACATCTTGTTAACTGTACTTGTTTGCTCCTCCCTTGCTCTATCTCTTTCCTTTCTGTAAGAAATAAATATAAAACATAAGTTGACACTAAGCAGGCTCTATTCCCCTAAAATATTCCTGTCCTGATGTGGCAAATAGACCACCAAGTAGGTAGCCTTACCTGGTAGTTGAATATAATATTAGGATGTTGAATTTATGTTGATTGCTCAACTGAAAACTGACTCCTGATCCAATACCTAAAAGAGAGAATTACAGTTATAAAAAAAAGTCATTAATTAAAATTGCAAAAGATCAGATTGAAAAAATTACCCAGTATAAATAAAAAGAGTAAACAAGAAACCCTATACATGATATATAGCTTTGGAATAAAATAAATGTTTCTGGTAAAGAAAAGATGGTGTGTGCAACATGATAATAAAAATGTGGATAAGGAACTAAGAACTGATGTGTCTATAACATTCCTTTTATTATCACCATCACTATCATCTTGAGTTTTATCATAATCATATCTGTAGCAGCTGCTCATAAAGGCTACTAAGATTTATCAAGACAAAGAAAGACTCATTTTTTATTTTTATGTTTCTCATTAGTCTCTTACTCCATGTATACAATTAATGAAATGGCCTATCCCTCCTCTGAAAAATTGTTTTTAAATTGATGGGGAGTCACTGTTGGTACCTTAGAAAACAGAAAATATGGCAGATGCTGAAACTTGGAAGCAATTTGGGCTGAAAATCTGAATGTCATGCAGTCACATTTTAGTTAGCTTCAGTTCTGACATCAAAATACAATAATAATAATACATACTTCTTTGGGAGTACTGTAAGGATTAAACAATTTAATTTAAAGGATTATGTATGTAAAACTCCTAATATTAGACTAGCAAATAGCAAGTGTTAAATATTAAGCTTCTTACTACTTTATTATCTGAATAATTCAACATTGTTGTATCTCTTTTTACTTAGCTTTGTCCTTCCTTTGGTTCTGTTAATACTCAGGCTGATTCTCTCCTTGCCTCCTGGAGAGATCCTTCTCTTCCTCCACAACTCCACTTCTTTTTGCTACACAAAATGCTTGCTGTGTCTACTTCTATTTATCCTCATTTCCACCTCAATCTAAATTATCGTCATCTCTCACCAAGGGTTCTATAGTCACTTCTAACCACCAGTCTCCTACATCCACTTTTGTCCCCTACTATTCATCCTTCCCATAGCACCTAGAGAGATTGCTTCCACCTCGTGGCCTTACCAGAAGCTGGCCTGCCTCAAAGTGATGCTGCTGCTGCAGTGGACTCTCAAGTAGCAAAGTTACTTATTCTCTCACCTTATAGAATAAAGAGGCAGGGCGAATGTTCTCTTTATTCCCTGATGCCATGTCCTAGCCATTACTCATCAACCATCTTGAAAAACTCCATCTCTTTCAGACACATAATAACATTTAGCTGTAGTATTATCATCCCTTTCTTGACCTTGTCATTTATGAACCTCTTTTTGATTATCCCTTCCTCCAAACGTTCACTGAAGATTTTAGCACCTGGTTCACCATCTTCCTTTCCATCCTCAGAAATGTCCAAGTCCATGTTGACATTGCATGATTCCCACATCTTGATTTCTAGTCCAGATTATGCTCTTGAAATCTGGATCACTAATTAATCCATAAAGTCCTATGTTCATTCATCAAATTATATTGAATGCCTACTATGTGCCTGGCACCACCAATACAGCTAAGAATAAAGTTGACAAGATGCCTGCTCTGGAGAGCTTCCATTCAAGTAAAACAGGCATCTCGACTTGCATATCCCAGAGTTATCAAAGTCAAGGATGTTTATACCAGGCATCTCCATTTATTTCTCCCAATTATCAAAGTCAACAAATTCTAAAAAGCAACTATGTTTCGCCCTATATAGATCCCCCTCAAAAGGTTAACTTCCTCTTCCTGTTTCCATATTCTAGTGAATGGCACCATTATTCTATATGAAAATCACACCAGAAACCTGGAGTTTTCCTTATTACTTCTAATACATAGTCAATTCTGTATCCTTCATACTTTTATCACAATATTATAGCGATTTCTTAATGAGTCTCTGAGTCTTCATGGCCCCTTTTAATCAAGTCTGCTCTCAGAAACCAGAGTGATTTTCTATAGTGCAACCTCCATCATCTCATTTTTCTGCTTAAAAGTCTTTATTAGCTCCCAAATGCTTAACCATGGCTTACAAGTGTTATCTCCTAACCCTACTCTAGACACAGAGTTACCTCAAATGTGTCAGGCATACCCAAAGCTTTGTGCTTTTTAGAAATGAGGTACTTACTGCTTAGAATGCATTTACTCTGATCTTTTTTTTAAAGGCCTACACCTAACTACTCATATTAGTGACTGATCATGTTCAATGTGAAGACTTCTTTGACCCTGACTTTTGTACCCAAGAGGTAATTACACCATATTCTAATTACTTGTATACTTTATTTCTGCCTACACTTAGACCAAGTACCTTCAGGGCAGACAGACGTTTGATGTTGTTTGTTTTAAATCTCTGCATCTCTAGCATCTCCTATGTGCTGTCAATACATGAGTAAAGCATAAGCTAGATTATACCATCGTTTACATATATTATTTATTCTGCTTCCCAGCTAACTAAATGGTTATTGTTTTGTTTTTCTTTTCATAGAGAGGGGAAATTGATCATTTATCTCATTTTTAAGATTTTAATATATATCAAAATACTTTGCACATAGCACATAATCAATAGCTGTTGCTGTTAACATTCTTTTAAAATACGGTAAATGTAATAACTACTGTACAAATACAACATCTTGACAATATATAATTTACTTTCACAAACCTTACATTCTGATTACACAAACTTGAGGAATTAAGAGAAAGCTTACCTTTTATAAAAAAACAACTTAATTCTTTCAGTCCAATGGGACCTGAAGGGGTCCCATTCACCAAATTATTATATTTCATTATACCAAAGAGTTAATTACAAAATTAACTTTCTATTTAACATTAGTGCCAAATGCAAAATATTTGAAGTATTATATGCTGTAAATTAACACGATGAAAATTACCATCAATCTGCCTATGAGGCAAACCAGCTGTTGGGGAAAGTTCCTCAGAAGACATCAAGCTCAACACCAAAGATGTATTCAGTTCTTCCAAACCTGGTCCAAACATAGCAAATCGTGGTTCATTTTGAATGATCAGTGAGTGCAAAAATGAAGTGACAGCTCCATACATAGGACGGCTAGATTTCGAAGATTTTCTTGTATGTGGACAGCACATTTTATAGCTGTATAAAATTGTCACAGTTAGAAAATGAGCACAGAAAATACTCAGTTTGTAATTCATTCAACAATATAAAACTTACTGGGTGCTTGCTAGACACAAGGAATACAATGATTATAGTCCCAATCCCGATGGAGGGAAGTGGAGGACAGACGCTGTTATATATACATGCCGAGTACCATATCAGGAAAAGCACAAGGTACTATGGGAGTAAGAGTGGTCCAGTGGCTGAGGAAATCTTCCCCAGGAAATGGTTACTGACATTTAGTTTCTCTAATGGAACACTTGGTGTAACATTTGTTTTAATGGTTATAATTCACTAAATAGAGCAGTGATTCTCAACCTGAGGACATTTTGCCCACTCAGGAACATTTGGCAATGTCTGGAGACATTTCAGTCATCATAGCTAATAGGCAGAGGGTGGTGCTACTGGCTTCTGGTGGCTAGAGGTCAGTGATGCTGCTAAACATTCTACAATGCACAGGACAGCCCCTCATGCCAATAGTGCTGAGATTGAAAAACTCTGCACCAAAGATAAACTACACAGATGGTTAGCATAAATGTCCCCAGAGGTTAAAAAATACATATACGAAGGCCACCAATATAGCTCATTTCATAAGTACTCCTATTATCAGCATCAAATGTAACAACAATTTGGTAAGTATTAAATAAGCAAAAAGGCTCAAATGTCTTAAAGATAACCTGGAAAACTAAGAATCATGTGAAAGAAATTACTCAGTTTAATAGCTATAAGTTTCTAAACTAGCAATTCTACATTATTAAACACTAAAGCTACCCAATCAAAATAAAACTTAAAGCTCCTTAACTAAACCAAGCTGGTTATGACAATCACTAACCTAACAAGATAATCATCTTTATTTAGGAACTTTGTACTTAAAGAAATAGTTGACTTTAAGGCTGGATAGACTTGGCCAAGCCTAACCACCTCATTTACAGAAGCCACTTGTAGTTTAAACTTCATTTTTTTCCATCCATATATTTTGAGAAATATCAACCCACAGGACAATAAGGATTAGAAATAAGTTATATAATCACAAATGGTATGGCTATTATTATTTCTGGGAAAATTAGGTTCCAGAGTATGAAATACACTTGAAGCTAAAGTCAATTATGGAACATTGTAGAGGTAATGCCCAGCAAGTCAGAGTACAGTGGCAAGTGCTGAAATTATATACAATGTATCATGCACAAGACCTGATCTAATATCATCTATATTGGAATAAGGAAGAGTCTGATAACTAAAACTACTTAAAACCCTTATTTAGCAATTAAATCTAGCATAACAAAAACAATTCTTACCAAAGCTCAAATATTCTTTTAATTTTACTTACAGTGCTTTAAATTTTGGGCTCTCAATAAGGCAAGTTTATTCAGATCCAAACACATCATATGTTTTTAAGGGTGCATGATGGACTTCCAATCTGAACAGTCCCTTAAAAGCTATATGACCTTAGGAGAAAATCTATTACCACTCTGAACCTCAATTCCACATCCCTAACACAGGATAATACCTTCTAATTGGTGAAGATTAAATAAGTAAACATACACAACACATCCCTCACATCATCCAATACACTACAGTTGTTCAAAAACTTTATCTACTTGATACTAAACTCTTGATACAAACTCTTATCTACTTGATACTAAAAAATGTCAATGCTTTCAGATGATAATAAAATCTTACTTCCAAAGGCCTTGAAAATGGTTTTCTATCCTGCCAAAGAACTGCTCTCTGATCTTTGGGCTTTCTTTTTCTGAGTATATAAAAATATTTACTATTTAACAACATGAAAAGTGTTCTAAAAATAATGAATGAAAATTTTAAAGACATATTTTACTCTTGCCATATGTACTATCTTCAGTAATTCAACATTGTAGTTAGGTACCACAGGGAAGTAACAGAATATGAAAGTCGAAAGTTTTCCTATGAAGGAAAGTTCTTTAACTCAACCCCCAGTTTTCACAAAGGGACACTTAAACCCAAAATTCATGAAACAAATTAATAGCAGCCAAGACTGTTGACATGCAATGGAATCAAATTTCTTATCTACTTTTTAATTTATAAAACTAGATACTTACACTGCCATGTAGTCAAAAAATGTACCATCTGTGACCTCAGATATAGGTTTTTTTAAGAATTCTAGATCTGGAAGAGACTTCCAGTCAACAGAGGACCAAGAAGGAAGATCCCGCAACAGAAAATATCTCCACAGAATTGGATCTCGGACAGTTTCATTCCAATAGCGACTCGTACTTCCCAATTGACACAGATCATGAGGTGAAAGAAATGATAAAATGTATAGCTGTACATCAATCTAAAACCAAGGGAAGTGGCAAATGGGAAAAAACAGTGAACAACTTATCTTGGAAAATTGTTTGATAAATTATATAATAACACACTATTAGGAAAGGTTTCCTAATAAGAGACCCAACAGTCTATTAATACTTAAACCATCATAAGTTACTAAATTTATAAGCAATTATTATGCTGGATGAATGAAGATGATCTCAAAGCCAGTGTTTTAAATAATTAAATCTCACATTCTGATGTTATTGTCCTGCTATCAGGAGAAAATAACAATATTTAGACACACTGAAACATTTCTGAAAAACCAACCATTGTTTGGGCCATTTTCAAGCAAATATCCAGTTCTTTTAACTTCTGGTGGATATTTTGACACATGATTTATTTGAATAAATTATTGGAGGTAATATTTTATTTTTCAAAGTAAACCTTTATCAAGCTGATTTTAGCATAAGATCAGATGATTTAATCTATTTTGTAATCAGGTTCCTGATTACGATGTACAGATTCAAAGAACCTTTTCAGGGGCAGAACCCTGGAGGCATTCTAAGCCTGCAGTTTTCAATTTCTGATGGACTTGCGGATGAGGAGGGGCTGTCAAACCATCCAGTTAAGATACAGAATTTTAAAAATTTCTAAGAGTTTCTCTCTCTATTTCTCTATCTACCTGAAGGTTTGCAATGAATGATGCGTGGAATACTTGTGCCCTGTTGTAACTTGATGCCATTTACTTTCATTGAGAGCACATTGTCATTTCCTTATTACTGTGCAAAATATACCGCAAGGTCACAGCCACAATATCCTTGGAAAGTGTGTTTGGCGGAGTCCCCCGCCCACGTGTTTTGATCTCTTGAGTCTGGGCTAAATGATGCTAAGGGTGCCGGCGCCGGATACCTTCCCACGCCACCCAGAAAGTGAGGCAGGGTCTCCTGATTTCCTTGGCCTGCCAGTCAGGGTGTCCTTCTCCCAAGGCCAGTTTGGGGGGTAGAAAACCTGGGATGGCCTGGCTGGTTTCCAGGCGCCCCTTTACGCGGACTCTCGCTGCGACCTTCGACCCCCTCTGAAGCCCAGGGGTCAACGCCAGGGCGTTTCATATTAACAGTTGCTCCCGGCAGACGGCGCAGCCCCCGGCCAGCCACGGGCCAGGGCGTGGGACGCCCCCAACCCGCCACCACCGCCCGCGCCCCGCGGCGCCTCCCCGGCCGGCCCCTCGGAGCTCCCGGGCTGGCGGCCGCCACTCACCGGCAGCCGCGTCAAGTCGCGGGCCTCCTGGTCCGCCTCCTCTCCGGCCGCCCGGGGCGCTGCCCTTTCCTTGCCCACCGACTGCCAGAAGCTCCTCCAGCCGCTGAGGATGGCCGCCTCCAGGCGGCCCCAGTCGCTTTGGTGCGAGCGCGGGGCGCTGCCTCCGCTGCGGGGCTCGCTTCCAGCCATGGCCGCCGGCGCCGCAAGCGACTCGCCAGGGCCGCGCGGCGCCTCCACCCCGGGCTGGCCTGCCCCGGCCGGCCCCGCTGGCAGGAGGCCCAGGCTGACGTGCTCCGAACCCAGCGGGAGCGCAGGCCAAGCCACTGCCCGGATTACGTCAGGCCACAACCTGGGCCCGGCTGACCTCAACCACTGCTAGGATGGAAGTCTCTTGCCCCCTTATCAGTGGGTCCTTCCGAAGACGCGTCTTCATCAAGGACCCCCTCGGGCTGGCCTGGGAGACTCCTACTCGTTCAGCAGGGGACCCTCCCACTAAGCCGGGCTCAGTAACCAAAGGCTTCCCTCTCGGCCCTACCAGACTAGGGGTGTTTTAGCTGTCTTTTTCAATCCCCGACTTCCCATTTTCTTGGGTGTTAGTAAAGACTTAACGTCTGGAGCCCAATTATAAAGGAACTTAGACCGAAATGAGCTTATATACACCACATAATTTATATTTTAAAAACCATTCAATGTATGTATATCATAAATGTGCAGCAATATTTCAACCTGAGCTCCAACTAGGTATCATATTGTGAAAATTCTACTAGGAAGTTTTTCTCCAGATAGTTGTCCATCCCACTGTTTTGTCTAGCATTACTTTAAAGGGGCTTTAAGAAACTATACCATAGGCCACATTCCAAAGTAATGTGGAATTACTCCTCCATATTACACTGGACTGGGTATGGTCTGTAAATAGGAAGGACACAAATACTTACTTGGTACTATATATCAGCCATTTTCAAATACATCACTTTACCTAATATAATCCAAACAACACTCGGCTCTGAAACTAGATCTCTGTTCTTTACTTCATTCTGTTATGTTAAATATCAAAAAATTGATAAAATCGCCATGAGTATTCCATAAAGGTCAAGGCTGCACTGCCTATTATACCATGCAATATCAATATATATAAGTGTAAAATTCCATCCTTAACAGACATAAAAAATGTTAGATAGATTTCTACATAATATAAACTCACTTCTAGCATTTGCTTACCACATCTAGAACATTCAACTATTCATTCTTCTTGTGAAGATATAAAAAATCTAAATTTCAATCAATTCTGTCCATCATCTCAGTTGTCAAAGTCTCACATATATCTCAAACCACCAATTAAAAATTAACCCCATTTACCTTTATTGCCTTCAGAATAGAAGACAAGTCAGCAACTTCAATAAAACTATGCTGGGCATTTACCATGTACTATGTAGTAAACTATAAGCACTTGGAACATTAACTCGTTTAATCTTCAATAACCTGTAAGTTAGTATTATTACCCCTGTGTTAAATAACAGGATATTAAGGTACAGAATTTAAGTAAATTACAGAGAATCACAAAGCTAGGCTGGGACTTAACCTCAAGCCACTGGCTCCAAGCCCCATATTCCTAACCACTATATCACCCTGTTTGAAAGTTATTAGGATCAGAAAAAATAATCAGATATCAACATTAAGCTTAAATGATAAAGCTTTTCACCCACCACAACACCCAAATATTAAAAAAGACAAAAGAACAAGAAATGAATATGGGAATATGGTTTTAATTTTTTTAAAAATTTAAATGCTCCAAAGCATTTTACTTGGAAATTTCCACTGTAAGTAGGAAAACAAAAAGCTAAAAGAACGCGAGCATGAATACACCGTGTATACTTTAATTGTAGATACATAAAATGTACTTTAATGTAATACTTCCATTACATGATATGGCATACTATATTTAAAAATAATATAAGAACGTGAAACTAGAGAACTAAATACTCCTGGATTCTGTGGCAGATTGGGTATCCTTATAGGAGCCAGAAAAGCAGCCCCGGAAGGCATTGAAGAATGACAAGCAATCTAAAATTAGCATGTCAACCAGCCTTGGATATTTTAAAAATGCCATTGAAATGAATTTGAGAATGCCTTAAAACATAGCTCCCACTTCAATAAACATTAGAGAATTCACAGTGGGATTGCAAAGCTAGGAATGTAATTTTACTGTGGGTTTCATCCACGATGCTTACCTCCATGATGCAAAGGAATACAGAAAAGTCTTTAGTCATGCTATTTTACTTTAATCATCATCAAACAATTCACAGTAATGAGAAATCCTATAAATGTAGCAAAATGGATAGACTTTTATGTCTTAAAGCCTAGTTAACATAAGAAAATTCATACTGGGAAAGAACAAATACAAATTTAAGGATTAGGAAAATTTGTTAACAGAATTTAAGTTTTAGTAACACAGGGAACACAAAATGAAGAGAAAGCACAGGTGTAAAAAATGCAACAAGGCTTTTAGGTTACCACTCACCCAATTTAATAATGGAATTCAACAGTCCATACTGGAGAGAAATCCTTTAAATGCAACCAAAATGAGAATGTTTAGCAATTTAGTATTAGAACTTCCATAAGAAAGAGAAATCATATGAATGTAAAAAGCATTTAACCAAAAGGGTGGAATATAAAGACACAAATGCTCAAGTACACAAATTAGAGGTACTTTCCCAACCACCCTAAATAAAACAGCAATTCTCTCAGTGTCATATTAGCCCTTTGGCCCTGCTTATATTCTTCCTAGCCATCATTACTTAAAAATGTGTTGTCTAACTTTCTCCACTAGAACACAAGTTCTGAAAGAGGATGTCTTACAAAGCTATATCTTTGGTGCCTAGGACAAAACAGGGCAGGTAGTAGGCACCTAATCATTGCAGAATGAGTGAATTATTATACTTTCCTTAAGTGGAGCATTTGGTATCTTAAGGTTACTCCATTCTAAATGACAGAGAATTTACTTAACAGGCTTTAACACACACAAAAATGTGTTATTCCCTGTTTGGTAATACAACAGAGTAAAAAGTATTCTAACTGTTATGGCCTGTAAGTCATTCTCCAATTGTGTGGGAGATGGAAAAGTTGTATAAAAAGCACCCAAAAGTACCCTCTTAACTGTACCAACCAGTGAGAGACCCAAATGTTTCCAAGGGTCTTGAAGGCAAAATGGACACTTCCGATTTGAAGACAAAGTTTTCTTCTTTTCTGAGGTGATAAATCTATTATAATACTTTACTCTTTTGAGGAGTAATTCCCCATTTGCCTTGTCAAGCACTGGTATTGAGGGCATGGCAGGTTGGAATACAATAGCAGCAACCCTTTTATGAAGAGTTCGGCACTTAGAATCATGTCCGTAATCCAAAAAACATTACTAGGAGCCCATCATTCATTAAGGAACATGCATAAAGACTCATTTTTTAAATACTGAGTTCATCAACTCATAAGGAAAAAAAAAAACTACAAAGCAGTATGATCAGGGAGGGGAAGAGAAAGGGAACAGAAACAAAGGAAAAGCCAATTTTGACTGGAAATACTGAAAAAAAAAAAGCCATATGGATACACGATCACTGGAGCTGAGCACTGAAGAATAAGTAGGTACTCAGTTGGCCACAAAGGGCAAAGCATTTCAGGAAGAAGGAATGACGTCTGCAAAGGGTGTCTGAGGGGAAAACACAGCACAGTAGTGAAGAACTGGGAAGGGCTTACAATTGGTCATGATTCTCCAAAAGGGTTCTGAGGGTGTACAATTTGTGTTTCTAAAAACCGTATTTATAATTATTCAAATCTTTATACTTAGAAAGCACAAAAGTATTTTCATAGTACAGGCACATGAGTTTATTATACTTCTTTATATCGCACTTGGCAGATGTTGCACTTTACAAACTGAAGGCCTGTGGCAACCCTGCATGAAGCAAGTCTATGGGTACTGTATTTTTCAACAGCATGTGCTCACTTCAGGTCTCTGCTCACATTTATTTAAGGAATGTACATTGGTTTTCTAGACATAAAGCCTACTGCAAACTTAATAGACTACAGTATTATATAAATACAACATATATGCATTGGGAAACCAAAAAATTCATGACTCTTTTGTGAAGTTAATTATGGTGATTTGGAACTGAATCTACAATATCTCTGAGGTATGCCTGTAAAACCTGTTAAAAAGCTACATTAAATTAAAATCTCAGCTATTTAAGTACAAGCAAGGAGGCAGGGACATATACATGGGAAGATTCTCTTTGTACCAAGAGGATCTATCAGAATGTTTATCAAAAAGAAGCCTGGGTTTTAAATGGCTGAGGAATACTAGACTGACTAAAACATGATTGTACAGGATGAATTTCAGATATGACGCTGGGAAGGTAGGCAAAAACTAGTGTTGCGCGCTCTCTGTTGTTCTGCTCTGTGGAAGACTGAAACAGAGAAAACATGAACTGGAAAAGATTTCAGATGAAAGATGAGGATTGGCTGTTTGGACAGATTGAATTTTAACATTATTATGGAATGTCTAAGTGAAGATATTTAGTAGGCAGTTAGAAATAAGGTTCAGAGAACAGGAGAGAAGTTGCAGATTTGGGAGCTGGCGAGTCTACTTTGAAGGAACATCCACATAGATGGATAATAGAATTCAAAGCTGAGGGCTTACAGAAAGATTAGGGTGAAGGACAAGGGAAAGGCAGATTTGAAGAGACTGTGAAGAACACTTTACATGGTGCCCTATAAGACTGAAGCTGGATGGAGAAAAAGAAATTCTGAAAGGAGCTGATAGTTTAAGAAAATGAGGAACCATCAAAAAGGAGGTCGCAGAGAAGTTAAAACACAAATAAAGGAGAGAGAAAAGTCAATAAATTGAGCAAAATGAGAATTGTTATCTGTTACTGATATTTGACTTCAGAAAGAGAAACTCAGAATGGTGCTATTCAAATGATGGCCACAGGAGCAAGTTCCTGGAATGTGATAACGTTACCAGCACAGAGGTAAAGGACGTCAGCAGTGTCAGACAGATCATACCAAGATGACAGTAGGAGTTGAGGTAGACAGAACACCATAAGCAAGATAGCAAGTGAGGCTCTAGGGCCGTTATCACTCACCCCTATTAGAGACAGAAAATTTCAATACATATGAAAAGATGTGCCCTGAAGACAACCCAGCTAACAGTGGACTAACCTAATTTGATTTTATCTCCATTGATAAACCATGAATACTCTTGTGAACAAAACAGAAAAATCATTATTAAATTTTTATAAAATGCCTAATAGACTAGAAAATGTTAAATGTCATTAGTAATACATGGTGACTAACAATTCTTTTGTGGACTCTTTCATTTATCTTACGAAAATGGAATTTAAATGTTAGTCATAATTTTGCATTTTGCCAATTTTTATATCCACAGTATAGATCAAAGCAATGAAGTAACTTGTTAAACCTTATAGATAGGGAGATTAAAAAATAATGTAAGTACAGTTAAAATGATCAATCTTACATTTCATAAAATATCTAAAATAACAAAAAAATCTTTACAAAGCTAAATTTGATTCCTCATTATTAATTTCAGGCTATCTGTAGTTCAGGCTGAGTTAGAATATACATGCTATTTTAGAAATTAAAGAATAGTTTCTTCATAGGTTTAAGAATATATAATTAGAGATGATAATGGCATTTTAAAAAGGGTAACTGCTGAATATCTTTCTGTAGTGTAAGGTTCTCAAATTTAGCATCAGTATGTCTTCTTTTCTGGAACTTTTCCATTCTATAGTGTTTTGGCTTATCCTGTTTGAAAAAGACTAGATGAAATTACTAGTTAGTGCGATGCTGAAAGAAGTTTAAAATTTGTTTTGCATTTGTTGTATTCCACTCTTGTTCTTTCAGGGGTCCTTCACACACAGATACATACTTTTTCAAAATTTTTTCTCCTACTTCTCGGAAATCCAAGGGTTCTTTGTGTGTAATGCCACTTGCTCCAGAAACACAGGTATCCACTTCATGATTTTCTGATTGTTGATCTGCACAATGCTTCAATCCCCAGTAACACATTTCTCCACTGTACATCATAGCCAGCAAATGGATGTCACTAAATATTCCTGGGAAAGTTATTTTAGATTGAGAGGTTAGAATTTAAAAACTTAAAAAGAATGACTGGTTATTATAATGCTAATTAATTCATTTATGTCATTAAACATTTTCCCTTATTTAACACCTACAAATAGAATAGTCAAATTATCACTAATGCAACCCTCATTTAATTGGCAGCTCTCTGTTTATTTTACCTGGAAGAGGCCTACTGCCCCTCCAAAAAAAACAGTATTGCCAGTGTTTTTTTTTTTTAAGAATAGTTCTTAACTTTATATTAATCTCTTTAGGACTTATTTGAGAATCTAATCATAAAACCTCTTCTATAACATACACCCCAAATTCTGCTTATTATTTCAGAGTACTCAGAAACTCCCTCAATGAACACAACTTTTATTTCAGGGTATGCTCTAGAATCAATGATATAGTTCTAGTCAAGCATCCTATACTTCCTATATTTCTACAAGAGTCTACAGAAATTTTCATATGTAATCATGACCCTAAAAAAACACGTAATTCTAAATTATCAAAGATATTAGATTATAGGTGAGATGTTTTATGTTTCCAGGAAAAAAAGAATACACTGTAGAATTTTCATCAAAACTTGCAAGCATGGAAGGAAGAGCACAATGACCTGTGGCAAAGGAGTCAGCTCTTCCCTAACCCTGTTTCCTCTCTTCCAATTTTAAAACTGCAATTGAAAGAAATAAAAAGACAAATTCTGAGACGAAAAGCTTGTAATACATTCAAAATAGTGGTGGGAGAAGTATGATGACCACACTGGAGAGGAAAAATCATATATTGTCTAAAAATTAACTACAATGTAAGAAAAAAACCACTATATTTAAAAAATACATTTTTTTTTAAAGTTGTAAGCATTCTTATTTCGGATAGGCATCTATGTAATTGGTATACAAAAGAGTTGAAAAGATCTAGGCATGAACAACAGACTTTGTGATTTTGGACATCTCACCAAAGTTCTTTGAGTCTCTGTTTTTTAATCTGAAAAATGAGGACTCAGAGCCCTACTTATTTTATGGCGTTTACTTAAGGAATATATGAATAAAAGTTTTAGAAACCATAAAGAGCTATTATAACATATGACTATTTAACTTCTTAAACCCCAAAAATACAAACAAATGAGCCTCATAATTTCAGGTGTTCACCTGTTATGTTTATCAGAAATAACTATAATGGTACTTGAGATCTAAAAGTAGAAGAGGGCCTCCCCGGTGGCGCAGCGGTTGAGCGCTGGGTTGTGAAGCTGCCCGCAGTGTCTGCGGCGCTGGTTCGATCCCCCGGCTGCTCCCCGGCCACCGGAGGAGGGTCCCACATGGCGCGCAGACCTCTCCTGCCGCCCGCTGCTCCCCTCAGCAGTGTACTTCGGTCCTTCTGCCTGCTCTGCTCCCCGCTCTGGCTCTGGTGAATTCTCTCACCCTCCCGTGCTTCTGACTGTACCCAGTGCATGTATAAACAAAAAACAAACAAACAAACAAATAAATAAGCATGCCTCTATTAAAAAAAATAAATAAATAAAAAATAAAAGTAGAAGAAAAATTCAGCTTTAAAAGCCTATTCTAGGGCCTCCCCAGTGGCGCAGCGGTTGAGCGCTGGGTTGTGAAGATGCCCGCAGCTTCTGCAGCGCCGGTTCGATCCCCGGCTGCTTCCAGGCCACCGGAGGAGGGTCCCACATGGCGTGCAGACCTCTCCTGCCGCCCGCTGCTCCCCTCAGCAGTGTACTTCGGTCCCTCTGCCTGCTCTGCTCCCCGCTCTGACTCTGGTGAATTCTCTTACCTTCCCGCGCTTCTGACTGTACCCAGTGCTTGTATAAATAAATAAATAAATAGATAAATAAATTTTAAAAAAATAATAAAAGCCTATTCTGATTTCTACTTTTAAGAGCACAATATCAGGCCTGCATTCATGAAAAAGTGATAGGCTACACCATATCAATTATGTTTTCTATGTACAAAATGACTTTTCATTTAATAAGAACAGCACATATTACATGTGGTCATTTTACTTTATTCTTTCGTAGTTAAACGATCACATACTTCAGAGAAAAAGCAGAATACACCATTGTATGCTATTCAGATTTATATTTTGTATTAGATACTGCATTTCATTGAATGCATTTTTTATTTTGTGGCCCAGCCTGGTTATCCTAAAAAGGCTGGTGGAGGGGAATAAGGAGATAGAAGCAAAAATGGATGTAACTTTGAAAGAGGCTAGAGGAGAACACAGAATGAAGTCACTTGGGAAAGATGAGAAGTGTTTGCCTAAGGGAAAATCTAGGATCCAATTTAAGCCCACTTCTAAGTTAGCTGCATTCTTGACATTAATGAGTGACTGCTGAAAAACATACACAGACACATTGTGAGAAGGTATTACCAGGGAGAGAATGAATGGCTACTGCTATAGAGTGGTTTCCAAACGTTAGCCTAAACAACATCCCAAAATGCTGATTGCCAAAACCAGAGTTTCAGATCAGGTATGGGCTTGAGATTATGAATAGCATTCTTAACAAGTTCTAGTACCTTGAGCAATAATGATGCTGGCCCACTAAGTTAAGGTAAACTGTGTAAAAAATATCAAAGGGAGGGGCCTCCCTGGTGGTGCAAGGATTTAAGTTGCAGCACTATGAAGCTACCTGTAGCCATTGCAGCAGGAGTTCAATCCCTGGCCAGGGAAGTGACCCACATGGTGCAGCAGACCTTTCCTGTCTCACCCGCTGCGCCCCTCAGCAGTGTATTTCAGTAGATCTGCCTGTTCTGCTCCTCACTCTGTCTCTGTTGAATCCTCTCACCCTCACCTGCATTCCCACACGTCTGGCCTGCACCCATCTCTTGTATGCATAAATAAATCAATCTTTAAAAAAAAAATTCAAAGGGAGAGATAAGCAAAGAAGACATTAGGCACTTTCTCCCTCACTATTCCCCCAAGGTCTCCATTACTCTGTAGCTATAGTCTCTTTGCTGTTACTAATTTTCCTTTTTATTTTCTTTTTCTCTCAAGGTTCAGCATAGTTTTCAATAAAACACTTCATTTTCCAATATGCATGTCCTTGGGTCACACAGATATGACAGTGGGTGGTTCAGGGAGGGAGAGTGAGAATGACCCATGAAAAGAAAAATGACTTTCACAGAAAATAACTGGCCAGACTGACATCCCCTAAGAGCAGTGATATCTAAATCTGGTTGCACCATAATTACAGGAACTATTAAAATTAGATTCCTGGACTCACATAATGAATCAGAACCTGCAGGTTATACACAACACAGAAACCTCTATTTTTAATAAGCTCACCAGGCAATTAGTGATGCCAACTCAGAGCTACTCCTTTTGGGATCTGAGATCCAGGTTCTGGGGCAAAAGGGCTCCTGGGAAGGGGAAGGGGAAAGGAAAGTGATATCAAAAGGGAATCAGGACCTCCCTGGTGGCGCAGGCGGTTGAGCGCAGTGCTGTGAAGCTGTCCACGGCCTCTGCAGCACAAGTTAGATCCCTGACCGCCAGGGAGACACCTACATGGAGCAGCAGACCTCTCCTTTCTCGCCCGCTGCTCCCCTCAGCAGTGTATTTCGTCCGTCTGCCTGTTCTGTTCCCCGCTCTGTCTCTGGTGAAATCCTCTCACCCTCCCAGGCATCTGGTCTGTACCCCAGCTCTTGTATAAATAAAATAAATCTTAAAAAAAAGGGGGGAGGGCCGGTGGCGCAGCGGTTGAGCGCTGGGTTGCGAAGCTTCCCGCAGCCTCTGCAGCGCCGGTTCGATCCCCGGCTGCTCCCCGGCCACCAGAGGAGGGTCCCACATGGCGCGCAGACCTCTCCTGCCGCCTGCTGCTCCCCTCAGCAGTGTACTTCAGTCCTTCTGCCTGCTCTGCTTCCCGCTCTGGCTCTGGTGAATTCTCTCACCCTCCCGCGCTTCTGACTGTACCCAGTGCTTGTATAAATAAATAAATGTTTAAAAAAAAAGGGGTGGGGGGAGGGAATCAATGTGTGCTAAGCTGCAGAGTACTTTGATTTAACCCATTTGCCTCCAAGGCTTTTCTGATACAGCTATTGTGACCAGTGCCCACAGAGGAATGAGGCTCAGAGAGGAAGAAGAGGTTAACTGAATATATTACCTGGCAATTTCTTAAAGCTGAAAATTTAATGACACCCAGGTATAATGGTCAAAAGATAAAATGATTATCTTTCCTTGGAAAAAGAAATAAAAATCATACTAAGTATGCACTTTTGAGTTTTTTCCATAAATAAGTAATGTATCATTAAGGTATGGCAACAAAAATATTTTGATGAGTCACAGAATTTTTTTCCTAATGAGTATTATGGATTATGCATAATTATGTTTTATATTTATTAATGAAAAAATAAGAAACAATTAGAGCATTTCTGACAGGGTCTTATGAATAATTTAGCCTCTGAAAATTAGGTTTCCTGGCTTCTAATTCAACCACCTCAAAAGAGGTAATTAGGGGAGAAGCAAACTGCTAAAGCAAGAAGCCAATAGGAAAATAGAACTGGTAATAGGGCATAATAGGTTATGGAGCCAATACTTTCCTAGGAAAAAGAGACTGTATCTATCTCTTATGATTCCCCTGTGGAAGAAGAAATGGAAACTTGGGGACAGTGCAATCAGTTTATGATCTAAGAGAAGATACCACTATTTTAAGCATCCTGAAGGGAAAGTTCTAGGCCATGAGAGTATCTTTTCTTTTACTAGAAATGGAAGAAAAAGGGAAATCGGTTTTGTGTGCCACTTTCTGTTGTTCTAAATAGGCTTTAGTGCCCATCTCTGCTTTTTCTTTGAAATCAATCCATGTGGGTAGGTGAGAAGATTTTAGGCCATTTTCAATGCAGCTAATCAGTTCACCAGTTATCTGTAATAAATCCTCCCATAAATAAATCAAAATACCCCATGTTTGTCAAAATATCATGCCTACTGAAGAAGAGCTTGTACTTAAAATAAGTTTTTAGGGAAAGTTATTTACCTCAATTAACTGTAAGTTAATTGAGTTAACTTATAGTTAACTGTAAGTTAAAGATATAACTGCTCTATGTTAATGACACTTAAATCATGTTGTTTTTTCTATTTAGCCTAGAGAAGCTAAGAAAGAATTAAAATATACTCATTTTCCCTAAGAAGTTTTTTCTGCTTCCCCATATTTGATTTTTTCCCCCTCAAAATTTCAAATGAAGTATAAAAGACAGTTTACACATATGCTCTATCACTTGTCATGTACATGACCTTAAACAGGTCCATGTGGCTTATGGGGACCTTCATTCTTCCATCTATAAAAAGGTAGTAAAAATAAGTGGCTCTTCCCTCCCAAGTTGGTCTAAAACCCAAGTGACTCCTTTCTTAGCTCCTAGCAATTTCAAGTGCATCGATTTTTATGGCAGAAGCTTCCCTTCTTTCCTAGTAAAGAGACATAATTGTATTTGGGATGGCAATGTATCAGGTAAAGGACTATACTTCCTATGTTCCCTTGTAGCTATTGAAGCCATATGATTAAATTTTGGCAGTACAATGTAAGTGGAAGTGTTGTAAGAAACTTCTGCAATGGTGGCCCCAAAGGAGTAGACTTGGCCAAAAGAAACATCACTTTGCCATTCCTAGAGCCGAAACATAAGTGAGGGTGGAAGGGGCTCCAGCAGCATCTTGGGACACTAAGAATGAAAGCAGTCTCCACAAGAGGGACACTGCTGTGCAAGTCTGGGTCGAGCTGTCTACAATACACAAGCCTCCTGCTGAAGCTGAAGGACTGTCGTTCTAAAGAAAATGGAGGCAAACAATAGGAACCTGATGACACCATCAAGCCACCATAACCAGTTCTGAACCTTTTTCTATGTGAAAAAGCCATAAATTTCTACCTTGTTTAAGAGCTATTTCCAGTCTCTATTACAAGGAGCCAAAACTAATCCCAAATTAGGGTTATGTGGATATAGAGAATTAGTAAAAGCAATATAATATACAACTCTCCCAAAATTACTAAACAGATATTGATGAAATTTTTTTTTCATTCTTTGAAAGTGCTTTTATAACTTGATCATAATGTAATTGAAAATTTATTTGAGTCAGAATGAAATCTAATAATCTTAAAATCTTAAAAAAACTTCATACAACACTTAGAAAACTTCAAAAAGAGATCACATTACCTTCACTTAATAATTTAGCTGTGTCTAGGTCTTGAAAAGAAACTCCTTCATTTAACTGGATAGGACACCGAAAATTTAGCATCTGTAGCAAGTAACTGATTCCATCAACAAGGTACTAAATGAAAAGTCAAAGCCAAAGAATTGAAAGTATATATGTTGACCTGCAGTAACTTTAAATGTTAATTTTTATCTCCCACTCTTTAGCTAAGAGAAAACTGGCTGTTACATAGTTATAGCTTGCAGATATTACATTTCAATGTTATTAAGACCCTCCACCCCAAAATTTTTATAACTTTCAAAAGCTCCAATTAGTAAAAAGTATGAAAAAACAAAAAGAAATCATTAACCCAAAACACATAATTCCATAATATACTTATCAAAGATGTTATCAGAGGAAGAAAAGGATAAAGATAATAAAAATATGTTCAACAATAATTTATTAAAAATATGTATCTACTTATTATTACTTAGAAATACTATGGTCAGACTTTTATATCTGAAAGTTTAACAGCCTCATTTCCAGGCCACATAATCCATAAAGTACAATCAGTCCAAGTCAGAAACCTTAGTGACACAATACTAAGACTGGGTCTTTGGATTTATTGATTTGGTCAAAAGAGTGAAGATGAATCAGAGAGCTACGGTTTCCTAGGAATAGAGTTATCAGAGTTCTCTTTAGTAGTAAAGAGATTCACAACCAAGTTTGTTTTCCTCAGGTCAAAAGACACACTTAATAAATTCTCTATCTTGTATTTTAAAAAATAAAAACCCAGAACATAAAGAAAAAGCACACAGGATTTCCCAGTTTACAAAGATCTTTCACACTATTTAGTTTTCATAATAATTCCAATTTTTTTAAGATTATAAAGCCAGTATGTCAAAGACCTGGAATGACTCCCCCCTTTGATTCTACTACTCTTAATATTATACCGAAGACAGCTTCCTGAAAACCATAGATATCAACAATCAAAAATGTATGGGGAATACCTTTTACCTTTTTAAGCAAGCAAGATTTTTTCGTAAGCCACTCTTTCCTTTTAGTCAGAGAATGACAATACATATAGAGTAGGGCTCCTCGTCTCCAAGAGAGACATTCCAGGAGTTCATCGCCAAGTAAATCGCCCTGCTGAAATACAACAAAGACATAACTAAGACAAGAGAGGTCTGTAAAAATCAAAATTAAATTTCAAAATATCAAGCAATTAAAAATACTCTCATTTCACAAAATGTAACCTACTTATACAGGAATGCTTTACTTTGAATCAATCAGAACTATAGAAATCTACTGCTACATGAAAATTAAAATAACTACTCCAATTTACATTTTTTAGAAAATAATGTTTAAATATTTTTAGTGGTCAATTTTCCTAATATATAAGTATTTCATAACCTTTCAGAAATATGTTATTTGAAACAAACTTATACTTATTTCTACAATTGCTAGAATAAAATAATGAAAAATATATACCAAAACAATTTTAATATATCAAACTTTTACTACGTTGCATCATTTAAAAGTTAGGATTGTTTCCACAGTATCCACTCTCTCATAAACACAGAGCAGAAAAGATATCCAAATAGATATAGTCAACAGGGAGTTAAAGACGAAAAATTGTTTGCCTGAAAGAAAGCCAGGGCTCGAGATAAATATCTTAGAGTCATCTAAATAGAGGATGCAGTAAAAAGCATGTGAAAAGGCAAAGATAGACAGAGACCATCAGAGGACCAAGGTGATATCCTTGGGGAGTGCCAATCTTTCTAGAACAGGAGCGAGAACTGATACTTGGGAAGAGCAGGGCTTCTCAGGAATGAAGAGCGTGCGGGTCTCAGAGGAAAGAGGTGACTGATGATGAGAAAGGCCCCAATGTCCAGGGAGGAGGACTATGAAATGCACAAGATGTGGGAATTAGATTTCTAGGGACATTCAAGAAAACACAACATCTGTAAATGTGAATGGAGCAGAAATAACAACTACCTGTGGTTGTAAAATGTAATTACTAATATTATACAATTCCATCATGCAAATATTCTGAAACATGGTCAGTACAATGTGACATTTTATTTGTGGCACTGAACTAAAAACTCTCCTATCTCCCTTCTTCAGTCTTAATTTAAAAGCAAAGATACATTCAAGAAGAAAAAGTGCATATTTTAACAACCAATAAAGCAAGAATTAGCAGTAAAAGTTTAGTCCAAACCTTACTTTTGGATGCAAATTGTTTTCTTTAACTAGTATTTCTGGTTCTGAAAGAAAATCAATCAGTTCTTTTACTTTCTGTGAAGAGTCCTCAGGAAAATCTTCATCTACTAGATTATTCTCCTCAAAATACGTCATGTCCAAAATAGCCTAAAGTAAATGAGAAAACAAATATCAATAAATGTTTTAAATTTGAATGAATGTTTACAGTTTAACTTTATGCATATAGACGCTTTATTAGACATTTAAATCTTCTAGCACAATATTTAAGTTCATAATGTAGGCAAAACATCTAATTGTAAATGAAATCTGAGAGAGATTTCTTAGAAATTTCATAGATATTTTACTAAAATACTGAATTAAGGGTAATCTTGCTTCCCTCAAAAAAAAAATTTAATTATGGTAAACTAATCCTATACAATTGTTAGATGTATAATTATTATATTCTTTGCTATTTACATATACTCTGTACATTTTTTGCAACTTTGTTGTATGAGGTTAAGTGTGGGTTCCTATGAACTGCCTACTAGCTGGCCACTCATGGGCAACTGTGACCTATTTGCTATCTACAAATCACAGCAGAGAATTCCTTGACCACCTATAGAGTGTAGCTCATATCACCAGGCAGGCCCGGGCACGCCTCTGTTGACCCAATTATGTGACTATCTCCATGGTGGTCTCAGGATAACTCTGCCTATGATAACATCAAATACTTTGCTGACGCAAATGGCTCTTGACATATGGTCACGATGTCCCCTTCCCTATGCCTCATAAAACTTTATCCCCTATTCCTATCCCACCCTCCAGACTTTATTCCTCATACCACTGTCGCAATCAGCTTTTACTAGCCTGTGTGATTTCAATAAATGGCACTAGAACTTGTGCACAAGTAGCAGTCTTGCCTTGCAAACCTGCTCCACAATTGTGATGTGGAATGTTCCTCATCACATTCCTGCTGCAAAGCAGCAAGTTTCTGTCGCAACAGCTCTAGTTTTGTATATTGAATTTTAGAAAGGTTTGTTTTCCCAGATGCAGATTCAACACTTGGGGTTTATGTACCCTGCCAGACAACAAAGGCAACATATCATCAACGTTAAGCAATTCAAACACTAAATCCCCAGCATTCCTATAGTCAAGATGCTCTGTTCAGGTACCATAAAACTATCCAATCTTTTTTTTCATTCTATTGGATTAAAACTAAGGAAACTGGGATCTATTATCAGTTCTACCACTAATCACTTCACTAACCAAAGACAAGTCAATTTTACCTTTTTGGGTCTCAATTTCTTAATTGGTAAAAAGAAATTGGACTTAAATGCCTTTTAAAGCCCCTTGCTTTGAGTTAAAGACACATGAAGCAATTAGAACATTACCTGACACAGAGCCAGGGCTACTTAAGTATTAAGTGTGTGAAAGGCCTATATCAGGAAGGGAAGATCATTACCCTTCAGAAGTGGACCTTTTGATTCAAAACCGTAAGTAGGGTCCAAAGTCTGGGGCATTTAAATCTCTATCTCTAGGTCCTTTGCCATATTCTTGAAAATAAGTTAAAATAGTTATAACCTTTCCATGTGAAAATCCAAAAATAGGGAGTCTTGTGGGGGAAAAAAAAAACCAGGCAAAAGAGCTCTGTGGGGTTTGCGAGTTGTTATAGGCTCATTCAACCGTGACCTTTGAAAACAGAAACCATCTTTAAGTACCTCCTAACAAAGCACAGTGCTGAGCATGTAAGAGCTGCTGGAAACAATTTACTTTCTTTCATAAGACTTTCTGGTTGTTCTGAGGATCAGTATACACATTTCAATTTGTACATACATATTTAATAAGTACCAAAAATCTAAAGAATCATATAATTGTGACTCTTTTATTTTTTAAAAAGTTATACCAAAGACTTTCAGCTTAAAATTTGGAGGCAAATTTTCCTTACCTGGATATCAGTATCAATATCTTTAAATGTCTGACATGTTGTTACATCCTAAGTCCTAATAATTCAGTTTAGTATATACACCAGCACACACAAATTTTCAGTCATTTTCAGTCATTCGCAATACATAAACATCACTACAGAAAGACTACCAGCACCACAGTTGTTAAAGAGTACAAAGTGATGCAGATAACCAAGATCAATGAGTGGTTTTCTTTAGGAAACAATTCTACCAAAAACAACAAAGGAATACAAATAATTTGAAACATTTAAGTTAAAGGCATGACTGTGATTCCAAGTAGCCATTCAAGTTGCTTTGTACAATGGGATATACAAAAATTGACATTTATCGAAAGTTAAGGAGATAGCCAGGACAAAGCCTTCCATATTCAATACCTCAACCAGCAAATGATTTCTCCTCTTAAAAAATAAGGCATTTACACTTTAAAAATGGTGAGACAGGTTTCACGCCTTCTTGATAATGTTTCTAGAGCTACTCAGAAACTTGCATTACAAAGCATTTGATTAAAATATTCCTCTGGATTGTACAAGGGAGACAGGGAATACTGTAAGATGTGGTACATGTTATTAGACTCGGCTTCTTTCCCTCTTGCATCATCGGAGGCTGGATGCCACTGCTCTTTGTTTTTATTTTATTTTTTTTTAAGAGTTACTTATTTTTATACAAGAGCTGGGGTACAGGCCAGAGGCACAGGAGGGTGGGAGGATTCACCAGAGATAGAGTGGGGAACAGAACAGGCAGACTGACAAAATACACTGCTGAGGGGAACAGCAGGAGAGTCAGAAGAAGTCTGCCACACCATGTGGGAATTTCCCTGGCAGGTCAGGAATGGAACCCGCATTGCAGAGGCTGCGGACAGCCTCACAGCGCTGCACTCAACCCGCTGCACCACCAGGGAGGCCCTGCTTTTTATTTTTAGATTCCTAGTCTCTGCAGTCTTATTTAGTGATTGGTTAGACACTTTGGCCTGCTTATCCCTTTGTTCCTCTTATCCATTTTGTGTGCACATTTTTGTCTGAAGATTTATCCTTTCCTGCCCCTTTTTTCTGGCTTCCACTTTTGCAGGGGCAGGTTTAGCTGACAACCTCACTGATCTCTTGGGCTCTTTCCTGGTCTCTGCCTCAGCCAAGCTGACTGTCCTTTTGGAGAATGGTGGGCTGGTTGCCTGCAGGCCTGGGGTGGGGGTGTGAGGGGCCAAGAGTTTTTTTCCAATTGTGCTGCCTGGCAGCTGCTGTTCCTTCCAGTCAGAGCTGCTGGTATCCATGGCAGAGAAAGAACTGAAAGGAACCATTTTACTGGTTACTTTCCATAATCACTTCATCTTTATTATGCCTTAGCAATCATGTAGGGGTATATGAAACACTCTTTCAACTATAAAATGCTATCTGAAAGTGAGGTACAATATGACATATTTCTCAGTGTCAACTTTGCCTCAACAATGTTTAAGAAAACCAAGAACAGGTCTTGTCCACACAGAGGCTGGAGTTCAAAAGAAAAGAAAAAAATAGTGGAGGTGGGAATAGAAAATCTCAATGAACCTAAGGAGATTCCTAAGGAAAGAATTTCAGAGAAAAAAGTAAAAGACCTTATAAAGAGTCCTCCATGCCACTCAATAATCTTCAAAAGCTCAGAAATGGAACATGTTAGTATCTGGCTTATTATCTCCAAAGAGAAGTAATGGTGTTATCTGTAGGACATTTTTCCCTGACTTTTTTGTCAACACATCCAATAAATCTGACTTCTTTGCATACTGCCTCAAAATTTGAACACTAAATACTTTGAAAATAGATTTTTGAACAAAATTAAACACTTAAATAGAAGATAAACTGATTTCATTACACCTAAACTTTGGAGTCAACCATCTAAATAAGCAATCTGCCTACATAACATCTTGGTTTATCCCTCTGTGCTTCCTGTCCAAAGCCGGTACCTGTGTATAAAGTTCTAGAAGATTTGATGGATTTGAACATTCTTTGTCTTCTCCGCATAGGAGTTTCAATTTTTCTAAAGCTGCAGAGGCCCGAATTAAAAAATGATCTGTAAAAGATAAAAACATGGCAATTACATCAATAGTTTCAGAATGTTATTTTTTAAAAAGTTATTCATCTAAAAAGATGGAATGATGCTACAGCACTGGAGAAGCAGCACAGTAGTAAGATCTGTAAAAGTATCATAATGTCTCCTACTTAAGCAAAATTTCCATAGAAATTTATTTTGAAAAGCTAGAGTGAAAACTCTCTAGGTTCAACTGCCATTTCTTAAATGCAATCTGTTTTGAAATGCTTCTTTTATGATGTTGAAATACTTGTGCTTAAGTAATTTTTATTGGAACAGTACAGATAATCTACATATAAAAAGGTTTTCCACTGAGAAAATACAATTTCATACATGTCTTTTCCAAAAGTACACAACTGACTCACAAAAAATGAGTGCTCTGAACAATTACAATAGTATTCATGTACATAAATGGCTGCTACAAGTAAAACACATAACCCATCTACAAATTTTATTCATTTAAAAACCTAGAAGTGAAACTAATTACCTCAATTATTTGAAATGTAGATATAAATACTTTTAATCTACCTTCTAAAAACAACTCACCCTTCTGCCCCACTACATTGGTCCCTAATACCTTCTCTTTCTGTCATATTCCCTTTGCTTCCATGCTTTATCCCTTTTTCTTACGGATTTTTTCTCCCTAACCTACAAAGTGTCCATACCAAAGTACTATCCACCCTTCTGCATCATTCCATATGGTCAGATTTAGAGATGCTCACCATCAAGATGCCAGAGTCTCCAAGTTTGTCTTTCTGTGCTTCCCTCCTGAAGCTAGTAAATAGTCAGAAAATGTGGCGCTTGGTACAGGCCTATCTGATCTGACCCAGTTAGATAAGTTGTCCAGTACTGAAGTAAAAGCACCACCAGCTTAAGTTGTATCAGTTGGTAATCATAAGATGACCTTAAGTTTTCCCAGGAGAGGTGTGCCTGTATCTAGATCAAATTCTGATTGTTAAAAGGTTCACCATTCACCTGAACTGAAAGCTACTTCTCTCAAATCTCTCATCATTCCAGAAGTATCTGCACAACCCAGGGAAAAGGTTTTATTATCAAGTAAAAGTGCATAGAAGATGGAACCACTTATATACTTCTTAAAAGATGACATAATCACTGCAGGGGAAGGTGGGGGGAGTAGGTAAGAGATAGCCCACATTTTAGAAAATGTTTATAAAATGCAATATTTTTGCTAAAGTCATTCAGTCAAAGTAATAAATGGTAAGGCAAAAACAAAGTGATTCTTACATGACCCCTGGAAAAAGTCCATCCAGGGAATATTTCTATGTAGTAAACATATTGTGCTTATATGGGAAAATAAATGAAAGAAAAAAAAAACTGACCATAAATAAAAAGGAGAGCATTCCTATATGGAATGATGTCTGGTTGTAGCTTATCAAATTTGAAGACAATAGGAACCATCAATCTCTATAACCTAATACATAGTTGCTACATTAAAGGGCACACTTAAATGATTATTTTTGTTGCGTGGGAAAAGAATGCCAAGTTCATTTCAAATACATGCAACTATCTTTTAAATAAACTTCAAAAAATAAGAAATCTTGCTAGCAATATTAATAAAATAGTTCATAATGTGAATTGCTATAATTTTAGTACATTTTCAGAACTTTAAAGCCCCCAAACAAGACTATATATCACTTTACTTTTGTTTCCAGTCCTCATTCTAGACTGGATTAAAAAACTGTTAGGGAAAATGAGCAGGCTTTTGGGTTGAGTGATTAGTGAATAGAAAACATTCTTTTATCTCTTTAGGCTAGTTCAAATGAAAATATAGTAGGCTGCAGATTGGTCAATAGCTTATTTAGAGATAACTTACCCACACTTCCAGGTAATAGCTACCACCACACAAGAACTAACAATGCATGTGAATCCTGGGATTCATTTACAAACCAAGAACACAAGTTGGCTTCAGGTTAGGCTCTGGGTTTTGAAGAACATAGTTTTAAGAAAAGATAATCTGGCAAATCCTCACTGGAGCTAGAGCCACTTTATCACAGACCCTATTTAATAAACTCATCAACTATTCACTCGCCTGGGAAAATGTCCCACTACTATTTTCCTGTGATACAATGAGTCAGTCCACAAGAATTTAAAAACCTATCTGTAGCAAACGCAAAAATACTGTAATGTGGGACCCATTGGCAACTGCGAAATAATGAAAAAGAATGACACTTAAAACCAAAACTCGAGGTAATACTCTAAGTCAATTTTTCCTAAGGAAGACATTTAAACATTTCCAAAATAAGTTTTCTAGCACTGACAGAGACCCTGTGGAAGTGAGGAGATGTACATCAAAGTAATAACTAAAGATGATACCAAGGCAAAACCTCTCTGCAGAATAACATTTACGGTTTAGAATCCAAAACAAGGCAGAAATTTACAATGCAACAATGAAAATTTGGATGTTCCACTCGCCTAGTTCTCTTGACTGCATGCAAAACAAGCATTACTTATTTACGGACTTTCAGTTTTAGCTTTTCACTTACACTTTTATGTGTACTTTCGTGCAGATTGTGCCCTGTTACCCAGTCGCGACCGAGTTAAAGCCAAGCGGCACTGATCTGAGTGGTTTTCACGGGGAACGAAAAATGCTGTTTCGAGGCATTTCAGCCAATACCGCTGCCGACGGCGCCGTCGGGGGCGGCCCGGCCCATGGCGCGGGGGGCGCGGGGGCGCAGCGCCTCGATCGCCCAGGCCCGGGCTCCGCACCGCAACAGGCCGCAGCCCGCGGGCCCCGCCGCGGAGGATCGCAGCCCGCTCGGAAGTCCCGGCAGCCCGCCCGCCCCCCGGCCCCCGCCCCCCGCCCCGGCCCCGGCTCCCTCACCGTCTTCGCCCGCCGCCTCGCTGAGCTGCTGTATGTGGGCCTGCGCCAGGTCCCCGAGCTCCTCCACTCTCCTCACCACACTGGAGCCTGCGGCCGCCATGGCCACCACGGGCGGGCGCGCCCAGGTCACGTGACCCCGCCGGCGGACGGTCACCTGATCTTCCAGGGCGGAAGGGGCGGGGCGGAGGCGCTCGTTCGCCGCGCGGCTGAAGACCCCAGTGCAGGAAGAGCGTCCGCCCAGGCACGCAAGGTCGTCCGGGTTTATTTTCTTATCCCGGACGTCCCCACCCTCCCATAATCCTGAGCTACAGAGACTGTAGGGGCGGGTGTGACGGCGGGGCACGCCTCCCTCCCGCCCCTCCTCTAGGCCAATCAGGACCCGTCCATGCCCAAGGCGCCCCAATAGGAAGCCAGCTCTCTCGGCCACACGCTCGGGAGAGAGCTTGTTAGCGATTGGCTGGAAGGTGGCCCCTCTGGCGCGCTCTCTCCTAGGCTCTGCCTCGCACCGCTGCAGTTACTAAAACAGACAGAAGAGTCTGGAAAGATGACTTTTGCCTTTGGCCTGGTAGTGAGAAGGCTGACTAAGACAAAACGATCATAATTTCTTGTCAGAAATGTAAAGCCTGGTGACCCCTTAAAATACATCCAAGTCTCTGAGAGGTTACTGTGCATCTCAGTGGAGAGCTCCACACTAGGGACAGGCAGTTGGGAGTCGCTTTTCTTTTTTTTTTTTTAATTTTTGCTAGAGGAGTTTTTTTTTAAAGATTTATTTATTTATGCATATAAGAGCTGGGGAGTAGGCCAGAGGTGGGGGGGTGAGAGGGTTCACCAGAGACAGAGTGGGGAACAGAACAGGCAGATTGAAATACACTGCTGGGGGGGGCAGTGGATGAGGCAGGAGAGGTCTGCTGTGCCATGTGGGTTTCTCCCTGGCCGGGGATCGAACTCGTGCTGCAGAGGCTGTGGATTGCTTCATAGTGCGGTGCTTAACCCCTTGCGCCACCAGGGAGGCCCAGAGTCGCTTTTCTAAAAGTTAATTTTGCAGCTGGGTTTGTTTTTGATCTCCTTGGCTAGCTGGCATATAAAGTACACTAACTTTCTCGTGTCCGAGAGTACCGAAAATCTGCATTTACAAAACTGTCTTTGGTCGTACATTTTAATGCTTTCCCTCAAAGCCTGCAAAGTCCGCTTTGTCAGCTGAGCGACATGCTGAGTGAAAGCGCTAAGGAAACAAGCCTGACTTTCTGAATTCCTGGACGATTTTCTTGCCTTTGTTCAAACAAATCTTTACCTTTTTTTTCGCTTTCCAGTTTGACACAGTGCATATTGAATAGGGAAAGGCAGTTTTTTTATTTAATAGGAAATACTAAAAATAGGGAAGTAGCGTGTTGTGATTTATAAGTGATTGGCTATAATGACCTTCTAACTGGTGTTTGTAATTCTGGTTTCTTCTTCCTTACATTCACCCTAAACATAGGAGGCAGGAATCATACATTAATTCTGTGTCCTCAGTGCTTCCTACAGTGTCTGACACATAATAAGTACTCAGAAAATGTTTATTAATTGAATAAAGCTCCATGTTATTTTGTCAATATATTAGTCTTCTCAGGTGCCAAAGGCTAGAAAAGTTGCATTATATAATCAAAGTAGCCTCAAGTAACAAAACTGGTAAACATTTGACATCTCAAAATTCCAAACTTCAACATTTACATTTTAAATAAATAATTCATTAACCACCGTGGACTTTCAGCAGGAAACATGCGGACTCTGGAAATTATTGTTCTCTGATACTCATTTCTGAATGTCTTCAGGGAGAGTTGGAAAGGATCTGAAGACATGTGGTACAGATCTTCACTGCCAGATGAAACTGGAAAGAATGTGACTATTAAGCACTGGAAACTCTAGAACAGGATTCTGTTATTTGTCCCAGATCATACCAGAGTAAGCATATTTAGAAGACCCTCTCACCATACATATAAACAGGTACAGCCAGCCTTCACCAATGCACACTAAAGAAAATGCTTCAAGTCAGAGAACCCCTATCCTAGAAAAAGAAGAAATACAAATTATTTTCCTCTAATTTTATAATTAGTTGTTTTTACTTTAGGAAACCTACATAAATAGAACAAATAAAAATATAGTGCTAGGCTTTAATAACTCTAACTTATTATGAACCTATCAAAAAATCTCTGAAATAATTTATTTTATTCCATATCACTGATATGTAATGTTATCAGATGGTAGCTAAGAAGAAATGAGTTTCTAGGGATGCTTATGAAAAACATAAAATTTTTAAAAATAAAATTCTTGCTTGTCTCTTGAATTACTAGTACTTACAACATGTACCATTCTTTTGTACCTTACCTTTTACTTCTTTATTCTTTGTGGGGGCCCTTAATTTCTCATTTAAATTCACCAACTTTCTCTCAGCAGGGATTGGGTTCTATTTTTTTTTTTTAATTTGCTACCAGTGACTTACATATAATAGGACCTCATGAAAGATTTGCTTGCTTTTTTATTTAGAACTTCATCCCCTGGAACTTGCCAGAAATCTGCCCTCTAGAGTGCTAGAGAAAGCTGTTCACGGAGACGTACTGCAGACAATGTTATGAAACTGCCAAAGGAGGGTGCCAGGAAGAGCGGCTGACTGCCATGTACTATAGGAGCAGGAGTACAGTGCCAGGGAAGTTGCATGTGTGGCAAGAGCCTGATGCCAGAGAAGATGCCCAAACTCTAGGAGCCTGCCAAGAAAGGATACCAAATCAAGAACTTGTATCTGCTACAATGTCTCTCTAACTCCCTCTATTGACGAAATTTAACATCAGCTTTGGCAGTTTGGAGAATTGAAAGGAGGCCAAGGTGGAGCAAGAGACTAAACACCAGTGTGGAGTTTCTCTGAGGTGGCCCTAACTCAGAACCCAAAAATGAACATGAAACCCTGGAGTGACACCCTATTAGTCATGTCTGATCCTTTCTTTTGGCTGTGGCCTGCTCATTTATTTAGCTAGGTGGTCATTAATTCAATATTTGGTGAGCACCTACTCTATGCCAGGCACAGATTATATGGTACTGAACAAAACAGACCTGCTTTTAGAGATAGAAGCAAGGGTGGATAGATAGATCTATCTGATAGATAGATTTTATAGGTAGATCCAGAAGGTAAAAATCTCACAGTAACAAAGCCAATCAGCTTATTTCTACTGGCAATTTGGAACACTAAAGAGGTAAGAATAGAGGCAAGACTAGTAACATTAAGTCAGCACTCCAACAAATCCACCAGCTGTTGTTGCAGTTCCTAGAAAAGGATTTGGTTTATTCACCTCTTTAAGTCTTGGTTACTCAATCTTTCCTTGATAGTTTCCTGTATCTTTACCCTGAAATTAATGTCAGTTTCTATTGCTTCAACTCAAAGAAATGCAATATAGCATGGGTATAGGTTAGACGGGGCAGGGCCTTTTGATATGTTAAAAGGCCCTGCCTTTTAACATATTGTAGACAATATCTTAACTCTAACAAAAAGTTATTGAAGTAATTTTAAGCAAGATATAATCACATTGTATTTTAACAATTTCACTCTGTTAAGAGAAAATGGGAGAAATATGAAAGAGAACTGGATAATTCAATTGCGAAACTAGTTCTCTAGATGAGAAATAAAATACTTCATATTAGAATGGGGACAATAGAAATGGAGAGAAGTGATTCAAGCTGATACACTATGAGAATAGAATCAATAAGACTTGATGACTAGGATTGGATGTAAGAGGTGGAGAAGAAAGGAATCAAGGGTGACTTGTAGGTTTTTGTGAAAAGCTACTTATCAATGGTATTGACATTAACTGACTCAGACAAATCTGGAGGAATGGGTTGGTGAAGGAGAGCAAGAATTTAGTTTTATTGGCCTCAGTTTGGAAATCAAGAGACAGGGAGAAAAGTTCTGCTCTAATGTAATGTCATTGCAAAATTTTTTTAATAAATAAAAATTTGAAAACATGTCATTCTTAGATTTGTCTTATTTACTTACTTGCATGTCTTACTTAGATTTGTTCTGGTTGTGAGAGAAGACAAGGTTCTTCTTTAATGATAGGTTGCTAATTGTGAGGATGGTATTGGGAGATTTTTTTCCAAACCGGGGGGCACGGCCTGTTTGAGAATGGAGCCAGCAGAGAGGCAGCAGGTAAGGTCGGTGTCGAAAAAACTAGTTCTAATGACTATTTGGGCCTCTTTTTTTTTTTTCAGTTACGTCAATCAACAATTTAATTTTTTTTTTTTTTTTTCAGTTCAAGCCATCTTAGGTTTAATTACCTACCAGCAACAACAAAAGAGACCCAATTAATTGAGGGAGAAATGGTCAATAACCACTCTTCTTTCCTCCCAGAATAATAAAATGACGGTAACCAAATGTTTCACATATTTATGCACAGAAACCAATTATTCCTGTGTCATGTTATAAATGAGGCACTATAAAAAAATCCCCAGCCTCTTTTGCAAGTGAATACACAGCAAGAAAGTGCTGGCTATGAGCATGAAGTGGACCATTCACCTTCTTGCTAGAGTTATGATATTGGAGTTTGCAGCCGTATCTATGGTTTATAAGCTACCTAGTCTGTGGGATTTTGTTACAGCAGCCTGAGCTGATTAAGACAACACTGATGGAGGGCCTCCCCTGGTGGCGCAGCGGTTGAGTGCTGGGCTGCGAGGCTGCCTGCAGCCTCTACCGCGCAGGTTCATTCCTGGTGAGGGTCCCCCCTCCCCCAAAAAAAAAGACTATGTATTGAAAGACAACACTGATGGAAAGAGTGTGTGCCTTCTGCCCTCTCCACCCTCCCCAAGCCTCATCCCCAGTCTCTGAGAAAGTACCACTTTGCTGTCACTTTGATTTTGGACCTCAGACTTCCAGAGCTGTGATGGAATACTTTTCTGTCGGTTGAAGCAGTTCAGTTTGGGTATAATGTTACAACCACCACAGGATGCTAACCTGAATGATCCCTTATAGTCCCTTTCTCAACTTCCCCAAGGAGAAGTGGGTCAGCTGAATTAGGGGGAAGGAACTAGGCTTCCTCTCATTGAAAGCCAACATAGCTTGTGTTCTGATTTGCCCTCTGCCAACCCCCTGGATGGGGGAGACCCAATGTCAG